GGTGCTATATTTTATATACAGAAACTTAATTATTTCGATCTTTATATTTATGCCTGTATGTATGTGTTATCCAGTTTAATATTCTCTTAGTTAACTAGTTGTAGTGTGATTCCACTAAGTGTAGAGACCGTGGCGGGTCGTTACACATCTTTTTAGAGATCTCAGATTTTCTATTTCTTTCTCTCCTTTTGAATGTGAATTTATGAATAAAGTTGATTTAGCTTTAAGTCAACTACATCCAAATAGTTGGGTTTTCTTCATGTATTTCAAGTACTATGTGCATCCTTAAATATCGAATTGACCTACGCCAAATTTATGCACTTTTATAAATTGAAACTTGGAGAGCCACCATGTGGCTGGGTATCATTGAGTGATACACATTCGAAAGGGCATTTCCAAATTTGTTTCTCAATCTTACAAAAAAATTTAAGGAATAACTCTTTAGAATCTAACTTCTTGTGGTGTTCCTAAGTTAGACACTATCTTCCATCTAAATGGAAAACCTAAGTTCTTATTTCATTGGCAATCCCAACCTCTGAAATGTACTAGTTTTGAGGGTATTGTTTTGACTTCATTTGAGGAGAAAAATATAAATAAATTGTAATCACTATCTCAACATCTTGAAAGTAAAGTTGTTCTTACTCTTTCTAAGTTGGAAAATCTTCACAATGATTTAGAATGTGAATACTTACAATTACAAGTTTTCTTTCTTTGTTGTTATTTTTCTTATTTTCTAAAAGTATTTTTCTCTATTTTCAAAGATCATGGGTTGAAGTAAATGACGTAAGTTAAAGAACAAGTTCAATATGGAAGAAGAAAATATTCCAGATGATCAAAAAGATCATAGTAGCCTTTATCCTCATCAAAGGAGAAAGAAGAAGATTATCGAGAATGCAAAAGATGATAATGCGAGGAAGGTTGAGATGAAATTCAATCCTTTAACTCAAGTTATTTTACATAACTCTGCTGGCGATATTACAAAATCAATTAAGCTGATGAAAGATGGAGTTATGGTTGGTTCTTTTAATCCAACATCATCTTCTTTAAGTTTTGAGAATAAAAAAATGTTATATAGAGTTTCTTGTCTAAAATAATCGATTATTTTGATAAAAAAATCAATTATTTTGTTATTTGCAAATCTGAAAATCTACTAAGAACAATATAATTGATTATTTATGAGGATAATCAATTATTTCATAAGATACTTCTAAAATAATTGATTATTATAGCAATTCTTTTTCAAGTTACTAAAAAAATAAAACAAACAATTGATTATTGCTTAAGACAATCGATTAATTTGAGTAAAAACTCAATAGTTCAATTTTTCACATTAGATCTTTTTCAAATCAATTGTAAACCTCACATTCATCATCAATCAACTTAAATGAAGAATTATAAACCAAGTAATAATTTAGCACAAAGCAAAACAAGCACGAAACAAAACATATAAGAACTTACAACTTGTAGTCTTATCAATCAAGAGACTACTCATAATACATTTGTAATCATCAAAATATAAGATCTTCATCTTGAACTTGATTAATAATGCCAACACAACATATAAATCACACCATACAATACATACATGTATTTCAACTAAACAACACAACAAGAACATAGCTTACAACACAACATATAACTTATCGACATTACAACATAATGTGTCATTATGTATTTAAATTGAGAAATCTCTTACAACACAGATGAATAATTTAAGTGGTTTGATCTTACTAAACCAACTTAACAGCCCAATCTTCTTGGACTTGCTAAATCAACAACAAATTTGAATGACAATTCACAATACAATATGATTTATCCATTTAAACTAGGAAAGTCTAGTATTCTTGTCAAAATTAAGACAATTATATTATAAATGTTTTAAAATTCTTTTTGTTTCCTCCAAATCTCCCAAATATTGAATAGGAGCTAAAATTGGGATAGGAAAGATTTTTCTTCCTTTTTCCTCCTAAAATTTGAACTAAACAAGATAATTTTTTTAAAAAACAAATCTATTTCTTTCCCTCCATTTTTTTCCCTCCATTTTCCTTCGATCAAACACTATGTAAAGTTTTTTATTTATAATCATATTATTGATACAAATTATTCATCAACTTTGTTAATGACTAATTTCTTTTAAAAAATTTGACTTGTTACTTTTAGTGGCATCTCCCGTTATCTCAACCACCTTTTCTTTCTATACACAAAATTTGAATTTAAGATTTTATTTAAGAGGATCAATCCAGTATTACTTAAACCAATAACTTGTTGTTGACCATGTAATAGTTTAAAACATGAGATTTATTTAAATAACACACATTTCTCTTTTATTTTTTTTAAATAACTCATTTTCTTTAGAATAATGTAATTAATTAAAGTGAGAAAAAAAAAAGTAAAGTAAAAAAAAGTCAATTCATATTCTGCCATTTATATATGTTTATGTTTCTGAATTTTGTATTTTTTTATAAATTTTTTTAATCTTTTTTAATTTTAAATAATAATCTTTCAATCCGTTCTTTAAAATTATTCTTCAAAGTTGATACATTTTTTAAATTACAACATACATAATATTTAAAATATATTAATAATTTATTCTTTTTTAATAATATTAAAATGATATTATCTTAAATAAAATATATATATATATATATATATATATTACTTAAATAAATAAATAAATAAGATTAGTATTTATTTACAAAAATTTGATAAGAAGCGAGTTGAATTTAATAATTTTAGAATTTATTTGATTGCCTTGAATCCATGAAAGTTGTTGTCTTTTTGTTGCCTTTGCCGCAAGCAAGCATCTACTTTCTGTGAACATATATTTATTAGAGCTCCTTTCTGGGTTCCATTCTCATCACTTTTTTTCCTGTGAAATATTCAGTCACGTACAGTACAGTGGCATCACTATACGTATTGTAATTGTTGGCATGCAGTTGCAGTGATCCCATATGCTTCATCAGGAAAAGGAGCACCCACATACATGACACAACGCATCCCGCAACAGAGTATCAGAAATATGGAGCCATTGACGTGATTATGTTATGTGTGTCTTCGACGTGTGTCCAAACACAGAGAAGCCAGTCATGGACGTCTTCGCATGTGACCCCCAATTAAATTCTCCTAATACCCTCTCATTTTCACGTTTTTGGACTAACTTCTGTCTTTAACCTAACTCTCAAATAAATGCTAAAGACAAATCTTAAAAATACACACCGTGAAAAAAAAAATATTTGTAATTATTTTTGTCAATAAAAATAATTTTATAACAGTATTATTGGGTGTGAAAGTATTTTAATAACTCACCAAAGAACCCATGTCACTTTAATAAAATGTTTAAAATTAATCTTATTTTAATAATTTATTCATAATTTTTTTGATCAATGAACCACTAGAGACATCCCAATGTCCCATCTCACCCTGTTTCATTGTGTTGCGTTGGTTAGTGAACTTTTGTATGTTATCCAACTCATTTAAAAGGAAAATGTTTAATCATTACCTGAAACATAGATAGAAAGCCAATAAATTTATTAAAAAAATAATATAATTGGAAATGAATAGACAAACAGAGATATTGAAATATATTTTTTTTTTATTATTGGTGAAGTCTATTATAAAAGAAAATTTTGTGGATCATTGTTTTTATTTAATGAGTTTTTCTGTTGATTTTAAAATTTTAATTATTTTTAACTAAAAATAAAATGTATTTTTACTGCAAAATAAAATGTGTTGTTAGCAATTAAAAAATAAATGATACAGAAATTTATTTTACATTAATAATAAATCCAGTTAAATAGGTAGATTAAACATATTGAGTCAATGCATTCAACTTTATCATTATTAGTTGAAATAATTGGCTTTTCCATAATCGAGTAAATTTTGACTTTATTTATGTGAAATATATTGATGGAATTAACAGATAAATAATATGTTATTATTTTCATTATAAAATGTTTAATACTTCTATATAATTTTTTTTTTTTGTATATTTTCTACAACTTTACACATGTTAAAGAACATTAAATATCAATATTTATTACAAAAAAAATTCTCTCATGTAGTTTTTTTTATAGAATTTTGAAAAATACAAATTTATTAATCATATTTATTTAATCTCTCTTCAGAAAAAAATTATTTTACTATTATACACAATAAAATTATTCATGTATTCTTATTTTTTAACAAAAAATAAATTAAAAGAGTTACGTATTATTTCTTCATACTATTTTGCTTAAAAAATAAATTATCTATTATATAAAAAAAACACATAAATGCAGTAATATATTATTTGAAGAAAAAAAATATCGTTTTAAATTAAAAAGACATGTTGCGAGCGATAATAAAATACATTTTTTAGAAGAGAAAATAAATAAATATAAATATAAAATTGTATTTTTTTTTTCAAAATCTTACAATTAGTTAAATAAGAGAAGTGTTTTATATGTGAGTATTTAATATTTTTTAAAATGAATAAAATTGTAGAGGTTAGAAAATCTGATAAAAAAATATTGATAAGGATGATTCCTAAAATTTTGTTGGCGGTGGTTTCAGACATTGGCATTCGTTACTTTTGTCGCGGTCTGCAGACATTGATGTGTCCCACTGCTGCATCAGCACGTTACCCCACTCTGTTCCTGCCGCCTCATCCCATTCTTTTTTTTTAAATTACTTTTTTCATATTTTTATTTTTATTTTATTTAATAATAATTTCAATTTTTTTAAAAATATTACATTTAGTAAAACATTGAGAATTTCAAGATTCTAAACATATTTTAAATAAAAAAATAAAATTACTCCAGTATAATTTTAGCTAATTATTATAAATAAAATAAGGTTAATTTCTAGATCCGTCACTGCACACACATATATATTTTTGTTATACATACATATTTTTCTGGATTTCCACTATTATTTGATATATACATATTTTTTTATATTAAAAAATAATATATTTTAATAAAATAAATATATATTTAAATTATAATATAAATTTAAGCATGGTATTTCACTCCTCTGTGCTCTCTATACTTCTGTCATCACACTTCAACTTTCATCTACCTCTACTTGTATGGGTATATAGTTTAACATTTTTCTTCTCTATAGCTTGCTAGTATGATCTATGGGTATTAGTTGATGTCATTTATATATCTCATCAATGTTATCGTTGTTTCACTTTGATTACTTTATAACTAACTAGCATTATTTCCTTATTTACACACTCACATGCATCACATATAGTAGGTATAAAGGGACCACATACGAATTTCCTGAAGACGACGTAGGTGTGGTTGTGATTTTTCTTGGTATACCTCTTTAATTTTCTCTTATTTCAATACCCTTTTTTCTAGTTTGCTTTTGATGGTGATGATGTTACTGGTCTTGTATAGCTTTCAATATTATTTGGGTAAGGATGTTATGCTTAATACAGGCCGAAGCCGAATGCAGCTGGTTTAATTGATTTGTTTATTCTGTGAGGATGGATGGATATGACCACACACATGTTCATGTCCCCAATAGTATTATTCTAGTAAAACGGTCTAAAGTTTTCTCTTGTACCCACTTAATAGTGTGAACAATGATTCCCCCAACACATTCTGGGAATGTTAATGTAATAAATTGAATTCCATTATGTACGGTCAGCAGTAATTGAACATCATAAAAAAATGGTTTTATAACTTAATTCTCAAAAAGGAGAAAATTATATATATATATATATATATATATATTAGTTAATGAGTTATATTATACATGTTAACTAAAGAGATCTCTTACAACAAAAGTGAGTAATTTAAGTGGTTTGATTCTACCAAACTATAATGTTAAGCCTCAAAGAGAGGTATAAACAACTTATTTTGATTTATTAGGTTTTGTCACTTAAACTACGAAGTCTAATATTAATGTCGTGGTAGGATAGTTTGAATATGAATCAACCACGATATTAGATTGCAACACTAAGCCATATATGGAATTAAACCACTAACTATCCTTAAAGTAATATGCTCCTCAAGTATTCAGTTAAAAACTAGGTTTCCAACTCCATATTATTCAGTTAGTCATTTAACTAGGATATGATTCGACTACTTTCATATCAATCCACATAAACCATAGAGAGAAATAACTTTAAAAACAAGATAATTCACCTTTAACATCTATGTATCTCAATCACATGTTTATGACTTTACAACTTTAACAACTATACAACATACAACTTACAACTTAACATCATCAATTCATCTATCATATATCATCATACATACATCATGGACGTCAATATTTGATGGCAGTTCATCATACAACAACAAGCATATAATAGTTTTAAGAAATTCAAAACCCACCACTCATCGACCAATGTTTCAACAATATAACATGGAACTAGTGATTTCTAGTTGTACAATCAACATGCATACAAGCAAAAACAATGCAAGTTTTCCTTATCTCTAAAAGAACTAAAATTTGCAAGAGAGTAAAGAGAAGAGAGAAGCTTCACACGACTCCAAACCTAACTAGCAACTCAACTATTAAGATCAACTACAAAAAGAAGAAGAGGGACCTCAGCTCGCGAGAAAATGAAGAAATTTCATTAACATAAAGAATCTCCCACTAACACGTTCTTGAAAAATTAAAAACTTAAGTTATGGAACCCCATTTCATAAAAATAAAATAAAAAACTCTTTTGTATCATTTTAGCAACTAACCCATTCTTTTAAAACATTACTCAACATAACTAGTATACAAGACCTAAGTGTTCCAAAAAAAGTTAAAAGAAGGTATTCAATATAACATCTTAAATATCCTAATATATTAAACAATTTAATTCACTCTTACTTTTGAAGTATTATTGTTGGTAATTAACTTTTTTTTTTTGTCTAGAAACAAACAGTGTTATTATATATTTCCATAATGAGTGTAGTGTAAAAATGAAAAATAAGTCTCTCAACAATTTATTTTTTAATATAATATTAAATTTTTTTATTTATTTGCACTTTTATAGTATTTTTTAAAAGTAATTGTGCAGTGCATATCATCTCTAACAAATAAAGTTAATAATTAAATTATTATTACTTTTTATTTATTTATTTATTTGATGTAAATAAATAAAAGTTAAAAAAAATTATTATAAAACTATTCCAAACATTTATTATAAACAATTTTGGTACAGTTTTATCTTTACAACACTGATATGTGAAAATTTTCTTTTCTTTATAATTACTTCATTAACAATTACTATTATTCTATATTGTTTTGTTTTATATCATTCGTACTATTTATTATACTTATATTTTTTAATCTATGAATTTTACTAAATACTCCTGTTAAATAGGATTAATGAATCTACATATTATTTTTAATCTTTATTCAAATTTCAAAACCATCGAGAAAGACAGAATGTCCTCCCACGAGGTGCTCGAGAAATATCTCCCAGATACAACCTGATCTCCTAATTTTACAATTTTGATTTGAATTTAACCTAATCTTATACAATAGACTCCTAAAATCTATTACTATTAAGTTTTTTACGTGGATACCATTTGTTTAGTGTGTAATCTTATATTTAATATCTTTTATGCAGAATTTTTCCAGAACAATAGCAAATACCATGAGTAACATTAATCTTCAATACGATTTGTTTAGTGTGTAATCTTATAGTTTATGAAAAAAATTATAAATTTTTTATGCAAGAATACTAAAACTAAAAATTGACGAAAATATAGATATTAAATAATTAACAAAACATTACATTTATTATATATTTCTCAGAAGAAATAAAACATATTAGAGATGATGTATTAAACCAAAAAAATAATAAATATTTTATACTTTTTAAAACCATTTTTATTTATCAAGTACAATTTAGTTAGTTCAGTATGATGCATGTTATAAATTTCCTTATTAAATGTTCCATTCCCATGAAGAAGAAGAAATAAACTAACTTTTTTCTTGTGCCATACAAAAAAAAAAAAGTTTTGAGTTATTTAATTACAATATTCAAAAGACATTGGTTAACGGTTAACGAATTATGTACTAAGTACTATCGTTCTGTTATTAAAATGTACGATCCTTTTAAATTCAGAAACATTTTTAATAAAAAAATTTTTGCCTTAATAAAAAAAAACAAAGACACTGATCGATTTGGTGTGATGTAAAACGAAAGCTGCGACTATTGGGGAAGTGCAGGAGTCAATCCAGAACGCAAGACAGGCACTCACTTTCCTCTTTCC